ATGAGATGACAAACAGGAAGATGAAAAGCTAGCTAAGTAAGAAAGAAAGAGTATGGGTTCTCGACAATATAGTTAACTTGCTAAATAAATATTAGAAGCTCCTACTTCTAAATTTCTTAAGTAAACAACAAATGTCCTTAAAATAAAAACTATTGTTAGTCTGTGTGTTAGCCAAAATAATGGCTCCCCAAAGATGTCCACATCCTAATTCCAAGAACCTTTGAATATGTTATGTGGCAAAGGGGAATTAAGGTTGTGAATAGGATTAAGTTTGCCAATCACCTGGCCTTAAAATAAGATTATTCTGAATTATTCAGGTGGATCCATTGTCACAAGGCTTTAAAAGTGGAAGAGGGAGGCAGAAAGGTCCCAATCAGAGAGATTGAACATGCTGTGCTGCTGGCTTGAAGACAAAGAAAGGAACCACCAGTTAAAGAATATAGATGACCTCTAGAAATTAGAAAAGGCAAGGAAGCAGATTCTCTCCTAGAGCATCTGGAAGGAACAAATCTGGATTAGTCTGTTCAGGATGCCATAACAAAGTACTATAGACTAAGTGGTTTAAACAACAGAATTTTTTTCGCTTTCACAATTTGGAGGCTAGGAAGTCTAAAATCAAGGTACCAACAAAATTGGTTCCTGGTGAGGACTCTTCCTAGCTTATAGATAACCACCTTCTTTCTGTGGCCTCACATGGCAGAGAGAGAAGGGGAGCAAGCTCTCTGGTGTCTCTTTTTATAAGAACACTAATCCAGTCATGAGGCCCCACCTTCATGATCTCATCTAAACCTAATTACTTCCCAAAGGTCCCCCTCTCCAAATCCCATCATATTAGGGTTTATAGCTTTAACAAGTTAATTGGGGGCACAGTTCAGTCCATTGCAGCACCCCTGCCAACACCTTGATTTTATTTCAATGAGACCTATTTTGGACTTCTGATCTCCAGAACTGTAAAATAATTCATTTGTGTTGTTAGCCACTAAATTTGTGGTAATTTGTTTATAGCAGCAACAGAAAACATATAGTCAAATATTTTGTTACTTGCAGCCCAACACAACTCTAGCCACTGCACAAACTTCCAAGAACAATAACAGTTAATACTTACTGGGCACTTATGTGCTAGACATAATTCTAAGAGCATTTCATCCTCACAGCACCCCCATGAGATCAATACTATTATAATCTCCATCTCCATTTTACAGATGAATAAATGGAGGCTCAGAAAACTTAATTTGCCCAGCCAAGGTCATACCTTTAAGCAATGTCTACATTTGAACCCAAATACTCTAACTCCCAAGTCCATGTTCTTAACCACTATGCCTTAGAATATATCGGGGACCAGAATTTGAGAAACTCTTATGTGAGGACCTAAAATCTTAGTTCCTGTCTGGCTGGTGTGGCTCAGTGGTTGAGCATCGACCTATGTACCAAGAGGTTGCTGGTTCAATTCTTGGTCAGAACACATGCCCAGGTGTGGGCACAATCCCCTGTGGGGGGCATGCAGGCGGCAGCCAATCGATGTTCTTTCTCATCTATGTTTCTCTTTCTCCCTCTCACTTCCTCTCTCTCTAAGATCAATAAAGAAAAAACATTTTTTAAGGAAAAAATAAAATAAAATAAATTTTATCTTAGTTCTATGAAATTGTAAACTATCACTGCATAATACAGTTTATCTTAAGTTTTAAAATAATTTTTAGACCATCATTGAAATAAAAACTCAGACTTTAAAAATTCTCTTAGAATTTACAGACACTCAAGAATACAAAGAACCCTGGTACAAGCAACACTAGAAAAGTGTATGCTTTTATGTATGAAAACTGAACAATGTTTATTTCTGATTAAATAAAAAAGAGTTGTTTACCAAGTGTAAGTCTCTTAGGCATTTTTATTTATTCTAGAGCATTGGTTCTCAGATTTTAGCATGCATCAGAATAATTTGCTGGGACGTGTTAAAGCACAGATTGCTGGACTCCATGCCCAGAATTTCTGATTTTGTAACTCTGAGGTGGCACCCAAGAAGTTACATTTTTAACAAGGACCCAAGTGATGCTGATGCTGCACTTGGAGAATCACTATAGAAAAAAGCATGAAGTTTCTAACACCATAAATGTAGGAAAATATTATTTCTAAACTGTATTTCATAACTATTTTAATTTTTATCCTGTGTCAAAAGGTAGAGAAAGGAGGGGCATTTTAATTCATTTAATCAATTAATATCCCTGTTTGTACTGTATGATGACAGATTATGCTTAAATTAGGACTCACATTAACAATTTTATTTTTTTTAACAATTTTATTTTCAAAAATTACTGTGTGCTTCCTAAATGCCAGGCACATGCTAGACTTTGGGGATAAAAAGATGAATTAAGTCGGTAGTTCTCTCTCAGGGAATTCTCAGCCAATAAGGAAACCAGTGTAAAAATTATAATATGAAAGAAAAAGATATAGATAAAATGCTTCAGAACTCAACAAGAACAATAACTCTATCCAGGAGACTGTCATAGGGAGCTCCAGAGATGCGCTGACATTTGAGTAGGTCCAAAACCACACACAAATTGTTCTGCAGTTCCAGTAGGTGGGAACAGGCATTTTAGGCAGAGTGCATTAGATTGATCACAAGGCAAGCAATTGGATGTAGAAATAGAGGGGAGGAAGAGTATAGAGAAGGTTGAGATGATGCTATAAATACCAGCTGGAGCCAATGTTCATGATTTGGTCTTCATCTTTGTGGGGTCAGAAATCCAAAATTCAGTTAACAGCTACTCTATTAGGATCCAATGCTAGGCACCCAGGGAGAGGAGAGAAGCTCATGAAAGAGCCACAAACCTCTATCCTGAGTATCTAATTCTAAACTTATTTATTTCCTTTTTTTTTGTTTTTTTGTTTGTTTTTTTTTAAGTACTTATTTCTGAAGATGTCTTTTTCTCTCTCTTGCCTTAAAATTAATTTTTATTCCATTTCTGCAAGGAAAAGGCAGCCTTAACCTCCCCCTGAATTGCTGAGGGAAAATTTGAGACAGGTAAAATTTAAGCAACTTGCCTTTCTTTACCCAGTAAGTGGGTGTGTACAAATTCTGGCATCCTGATCAACCTAATGGCTGGACGTGAGGTACGCTATCAAGCAGAGCTCTGTGCAGCTGTCAAGCAGGTGTTTTTCCAATGACTCTTTAAGCTCTGGCTGGTTATCTCAGTTGGTTAGAGTGTCATCCTGATACGCCAAGGTTGTGGGTTTGATCTCTGGACAGGGCACATACAATAATCAACCAATGAATGCATAAATAACTGGAACAACAAATATTGATGTTCCTCCCTCTTTCTCTCTCCCTCTCGCTCTCTAAAATCCATTTAAAAATTTTTTTTTTTCCTTTAATCCTCACCCGAGGACATTTTTGCATTTTTTGTTCAGACAGAGCGGGGGGGGAGGGGAGAGAGAGAGAGAAATATCGATGTGAAGGGACACATCGAGTGGCTGCCACCCGCACGACCAACCAGGGCCGGGGACAAACTGCAACCGAGGTACGTGCCCTTAGCGGGAACCGAACCCAGGTCTCTCTGTACCGCAGGCCGACGCTCTAACCGCTGAGCCAAACCGGCCAGGGCTTAAAATTTTTTTAAACAAGTAATTTAAATTATCCTTTTCTAGTTTCACTCACATTCCATTTGGACCCCTAGAGTAGCTTTATATGCCCCTCAATAATGCCAAACAAATATTCTGTTTATATAGAAATCACCCCCTGAGTGTATGAGTTTATAATCTAAATTCGTATAATTTCTCATGTATTCATCTCTTTTTTAACTCTCTGTTTTTAAAGTTGGTTAATCACCAATTTAGTATATGAATATAATCTTAAAAACAATAAGATAGTAGCTCTGGCTGGTTTGGCTCAGCGGTTATTAGAGTGTTGGCCCACGGACCAAAGAATTACGGGTTCGATTCCAGTCAAGGACATGTACCTCAGTTACGGTTCAGTCCCCGGCCCTGGTCAGGGTCATGTGGGAGGCAGCCAATCGATGTGTCCCTCTCATATCGATGTTTCTCTCTCTCATATCGATGTTTCTCTCTCTCTCTGCCTTTCTCCCTCCCTCCTACTCTATCTGAAGATAGACAGAAAAATATCCTCAGGTGAGGATTAAAAAACAACAACAACAACAAAAATAAGATAGTAAAGAAAGCCCTGGCAGGTGTGGCTCATTGGGCATCGTCCTGTGCACTGAAGGGTTGCTGGTTCAATTCCCAGTCAGGGTACACGCTCAGGTTGCTGGCTTGATCCCTGGTAGGGGGTTGTGCAGGAGGCAACAGATCAATGTGCAGCTCTCACATTGATGTTTCTCTCTCTCTCCAGAAATCAATTTAAAAAATTTTTATAAAGAGAGTAAAGAAAATAAAACCTAAAATTCCATTTGACAATTCCCTATCCCACTACCTTCCTCAGAGTTCCATCGCGTTTGTTTTTGAAAACACTGCAGACAGTTCCCTGAATTCTAACCTTGGTTCCATTTACCATGTAAATGTAGGGAAATCATAAACCTCCCTCCTTCAAATAACTTGGTCATGAAACTTGCCCGTGGGTGTGCCTGGGAACACTGATGCTTATTTGTCCCTCTGTAATAGTTTTAGTTTGTCTATAGTCTCCTGTGACTACAGACAACAGAAGGTTCATTCCTGTTATTCTATAGCAGTTAGCATAAAAGAACTCACTTAGCTTTGGCTTATGGCTGCTGCCATAAGCTACTAAATAAGCATAATAGGCTACTCATTAATAAATGATAGCTTAGTTCTTTAAAATGGTAAATACTTAACAGAGTACTGGCATTCAGAGTGTACATGAGCACTGTCTACTAGTTGGTGAGAAGAAATATAAAATATTACGATTTCTAAGTAAAAAAATTTTAAATCAAAATTTGGAAGAAAGTTTTGCCCTGGCTGGGCGGCTGAGTTGGTTGGAGTGTCATCCCATATACCAAAAAGTTTCAGGTCTGATTCCTAGTCAGAGCACTTACCTAGGTGGCAGGTTTGTCCAGGTTGGGGCATGCACAGGAGGCAACGATGTTTTATGTTTCACTCGCTCGCTCTCTTTCTTTCTTTCTAGAATAAATGAAAAACATATCCTCAGGTGAGAATTTAAAAAGTAAATAAATAAAATAAAATAAAATAAAATAAACATATACTCGGGTGAGGATAAAAAATATTTGGAAGAATATTTATTTTCAAATTAGTTTCATGTAGCTACTAAAATCATACATATATGGCACTCAACTACTTTGTGTTTACTTTTTTTTTTTATCCTCACCCGAGGACATTTTTTCATTTTTTGTTCAGATAGAGTAAGGAGGGAAAGAGAGGAAGAGAGAGAGAGAGAGAAACATCGACATGAAAGGGACACATCGAGTGGCTGCCACCCACACAACCCAACCAGGGCCAGGGACAAAGTGCAACCAAGGTACGTGCCCTTAGCGGGAACCGAACCTGGGTCTCTCTGGACTGCAGGTTGATGCTCTAACCGCTGAGCCAAACTGGCCAGGGTGAAAAGATAACTCTTAAAACTTTGTAGCCCCCTCTATATGTATCCTTCTGTTCTTTTTATGTACAGTCACAAATGCATGCTTACTATAAATATACATATTACATATATTCACATATAATACCTAGTTAATGCAAAAAAAGCAGCAATGAAGGACTAGAGGAACAATAAAGACAGAGGACACATAGAAACAAATAGCAAAATGGCAAACTTAAACCCTACCTGATCAGTAATTACATTAAATGTAACTATCAGCCCAGCCAGTGTGGCTCAGTGGTTAAGAATCCTCCCATGCACTAAGAGGTCACCAGTTTGATTCCTGGTCAGGGCACATGCCCAGGTTGTAGGCACGATCTCCAGTGAGGAGCATGCAGGAGGCAGCCAACTGATGTTCTCTTTCATCAATGTTTCTATCTCTCTCTCCCTCTCCCTCCCTCTCTGAAAGAAAGAAAGAAAGAAAGAAAGAAAGAAAGAAAGAAAGAAAGAAAGAAAGAAAGAAAGAAATTAAAAAATTGTTAACTATCATTCTTCATTATTTCTCAGCATGTTAATAAATTCTAATTGCAATTTTTACAACAGATTCTATAGCAAATTTACTTACCCTGAGCCTATCCCCTCAAAACTTCCAGAATGTAAAAGCAAAGTATATGTTGATGAATACCAAATCTGTATTAATTAGCATATATTAATTTCTTCCTAGACACATTCACTTGGATTGTACATGGCATCTCTAAATCAACATACTCAACATTCCTTTATTTCCTATGTCAGTTACTGTTCCTACCATCTAACCCTAAACCAAAAACAATTCATCCTTGACTTCTTTTAACTCATCCATCTCATAGTCCCTCCAATCAACCACTAAATCCTGCTGAAAGTAGCTCCTAAATATTTCTCAAAGACAAACTCTTATACCTAACACCATTGTTCTAGTTTAAGTGCCCATCATCTCTGCTGGACCTTCTCCTAGTCTTCTCTCTTCTCCTCCTCTCAATATCTACCCTCCCCACTTCAGCCAAAATAATCTAATTTGAGGTTGATTATCAACCTAAAAACAAAAGCCAAAGAGCATTTGAGATCTTGCTCTCTGGCATATGTCATCAGTTTGGATCAAATAAACTCTTATAAAAATTCTCTCCAGCATTATTTACAATAGCTAAGATCTGGAAACAGCCCAAGTGTCCATCAGTAGACGAATGGATAAAAGAGCTGTGGTACATATACACAATGGAGCTGTAAGAAAGAAAGATCTCTTATCCTTTGAGACGACATGGAGGGACCTGGAAAGTATTATCCTAAGTGAAACGAGCCAAGCAGAAAAAAACAAATATCACATGATCTCACTTATTTATGGAATATAATGAACATAACAGTCTGAGGAATAGGGTAGACCCAGAAACATGGAAGTAGGGTACAGACTGACAACCCTTAGAAGAGGGGGTGGTGGGGGGAGGGAAGAGATAAACCACAGAACTTATATGCATGTGTGCATAACCAATGGACACGGACAACAAAGCCGGGGACGGGGCAGGGGGTATGGGGAGGAGGGTGCCAATGGGGTAAAAGAGGAGAAACATCTGTAACAAAAATAAAATTAAAAATAAAATAGAAATTTAAAAAAAAAATTCTCTACAGGGACCGATTAGTGTGGCTCAATGGTTGAGTATCAACCCCTGCACCAAGGGGCAGCCGGTTTGATTCCCAGTCAGGGCACATGCCCAGGCCGTGGGCCAAATCCCCAGTGGGGGGCATGCTGGAAGCGGCCAATCGATCTTCTCTCTCATCAATGTTTCTATTTCCCTCTCTCTCCCTTTCTCTCTCTCTAAAAATCAATGAAGAAAAACAAATTCTCTACAAGTTTGGATTTTTCCTATGTCAACATTTACTTGGCAAAGTTGGCAGGATTCCGACACCCACACAGGACAACCCTGGAGACCCAGATCCAGAGCTAGGTACAAGCAAGGGCCTGTTGTGTCCTACCAGCTTCTTACTTTACATCAGGTAAACTTGGATGAGTCCTTCTTGGAATTTTGGGCCTCCATGACTTTATTTGAGCTGTGCTTAGTAAAATCCTCAAGGTGGATAGAGGTTGAGATAACCCAGGGGGGAGAAATTGGCTGCTGCTTTTAATATCAGCTTTTTAATTGGATTGCTTACTGAGAGTCTGCTTTTTAATTGGATTGCTTACTGAGGATTGCTTACAAAATCTTTGCTGGTTAAATGAGTGACTGAACTCTCTTTAGCTCTCTGAAGGAGAAAGGACACTTGCTTTCCCAACCCAAACAGCAAATGAGGTAATGACAGTTGTTTCAGACCCCCAAATCTGGAGTGGCAGGGATGGTATTGTTCAAATTAATAGAAAGGCAAGTGCTTGTAAGAATTGGGTATTCTAGCCCTGGCCGGTTTGGCTCAGCGGTTAGAGCGTCGGCCTGCGGTCCTGAGAGACCCGGGTTCGGTTCCCGCTAAGGGCGCGTAACTTGGTTGCAGTTTGTTCCCGGCCCTGGTCGGTTGTGCGGGTGGCAACCACTCAATGTGTTCCTTTCACGTCAATGTTTCTCTCTCTCTCTCTGTTCCTCTCTCTCCTCCCACTCTACCTGAACAAAAAATGGAAAAATGTCCTCGGGTGAGGATAAAAAAAAAACAAAAAACAAAAAAAAACAGCAAAAAAAAAAGAATTGGGTATTCTAAAATTCTCAGAAATGTAGAAACTAATTCAAGTGGCTGTTTGGCTCAGCAGTTGGAGCGTTGGCCTGCGGACCAAAGAGTCCTGCGTTTGGTTCCCACTAGGGGCACATACCAAAAATAAAAAAACTAATACAAGTGCTTTTCAAGTTTATGTGATCTGAGATGAATTCTTAGTAAATAAAAGCTAGCTTAAATTTGTTGGTTTAAGTAAAACAGACATATCTTTATTTTGCCTGAGTTCTAAAAAAATAAGTTGATGTTAATAAATGACTTTGATATCTATGAACTGTTTCTAGAGGTTATAAAAGGTCTCATAAATCTGCCAAGCTAAAGAATGCTAATTGCTTACTTCTTAGTTTTCATTAGAAACTGAGGTTTTAAGGGCCTCTGAAACATCTCAAAGATTTGTTTTTATGTTATAGTGTATGGAAAGCATTGTAAAGTAAGTGAAAACTTCTGGGGTATATTATATGTGTAAACAATGGTTGTAAAAATTGAATAGTCAGGGCTATGGGAATTTTTTTTTCCATTCCTCCATGTGTCATAATGCATTTAAGCTGAACTTAGATAAAGAAACATAACGAACTGATATTATTGAAAGGGAACACCTTATACTATTACCAAGGTTTGATAGAGTTCAAGAAAATGCCCAATAGGTAACTGCTTCCTTTTTACAGACAAGTTACCAGGAGACAGGCTTTAAAGATCATTGACTGGGCCCTACCGGTTTGGCTCAGTGGTTGGAGCATTGGCCCGCGGACCAGAGTCCTGGGTTCGCTTCCCACTAAGGGCACGTGCCTCGGTTGCGGTTTGTCCCTGGCCCAGGTTGGGGTCATGTGGGTGGTGGCCAGTCGGTGTGTCTCTCTCACTTCGATGTTTCTCTCTCTCTCTTCCCCCTCTTTCCCTCCCGCTCTATCTGAAGATAAGTGCAAAAATGTCCTCAGGTGAGGATTAAAAAAAGAAAGAAAGAAAAAGATTGTGTTAAGTGCTTTCTTTTTTTAAAATTTCCATTTGCTTACTTGGTGTATAATTATTAAAATTGGATGAGACCTTTGGATTTCCCTAGTCCCAGATGAACATTTATCCTCACCCAAGGACATTTTTTTCCATTTTTTGTTCAGATAGAGCGGGAGGGAGAGAGAGGAAGAGAGAGAGAGAGAAACATCGACGTGAAGGGACACATCGAGTGGCTGCCACCCGCACGACCAACCAGGGCCGGGGACAAACCGCAACCGAGGTACGTGCCCTTAGCGGGAACCGAACCTGGGTCTCTCTGGACCACAGGCCGACGCTCCAACCGCTGAGCCAAACCGGCCAGGGCCAGATGAACATTTATATGACTTATTAAAGAAACAAAAAAGTGTCCCTGGCAGGTTTGGCTAAGCAGTTGGAGCATCAGCCAGCGGACCAAAGAGTCGAGGTTTCGATTCCAGTCAAGGGCATCTACCTCGGGGTCATACAGGAGGCAACCAATCAATGTATCTCTCTCACATTGATGTTTCTCTCTCTCCCCTCCTCCTCCCTCTCACCCTCCTACTCTATCTGAAGATAAATGGAAAAATATCCTCCAGTGAGGATGAAAAATAAGAGTATTAAGAATATTAACTGTATAATTAAGATTTGTCTTGAGATTTGAATCATGACAAGATCACTTCTTTCTAAAGATTATAGATATATAAGATATAAATCCAAGAACAAGCATTTCACAAAACAATATTAAGACAGATTTAGTGTTCAAAAGGTATTAACTATCTTAATTAGACGCACTCCTAGAAACTTAGTTATAAGTTTTATTTAGTTTATATACTTTTCATATAGGCAAAAATATTATGATAATCCAGTTTTTATGTTAATTTAGAATGTCACTGGGAGGTAATGTGAACAACTATCTTATCCAGTTTTTAGTTAATATGTCTTCCTTCCCCAAGAAGTACAATCTCTCGGTTTCCATATCTTTCTCTTTCTCTCAGGCTCTGCATGGAATTTTCCTATCCTCTTAATGAACACATGATCACGTGTTCATTGTCCTGTTTTCCCCTGGTGGTGAAGGTACTTCTATTTCCTTCTCCTTTTTCATCTTTTCTCTCATTGTGGCCTCTAACAGGATCCCCTCCAGGGTCCCTCTGATCTCTATGCTAATAGGAAAGCACTGAAATGACTGAAAGGAAGACAAAGAGGAAAAAAAATTCCAAAAGCAGCTGGGAGCCCTTAGTTCTAACCATCTCTATGGAAACAATTCCATGGAGATCCATCTGGAAACAATTCTGTAGGGATCACTGGAGCAGTAGTGAGCATGTCTCACCAAGTCTTACTTACAGGATTCAACTTGCAAATAGGAATAGTTGATAGACATTTTATTTTAGAAAAATAGTAAAACAGAAAGTCAAATCAAAATTAGGTTTACCCCTATACAGTGTACTTCTTTAAAAACTCAAAACTCCCTGCTTTCTATAATGATAACAAAGCAAAAGGAATACATGTACTAACTTCAAGTTCTTCCTAAGCATTCACACTGGCAAACAGCAGAGTGCACAATACAAAGAAATTATGGCTCAAAGAAAAATCAAGGTGTGGTGGTAAAAAAAAATCATTACAATGCATTTAGGATTGTGGCCCATAACCACACAAAGTAAGTATGTGGAAAGAATGCCAAACTCAATCAGGCAGTAAATAGATTGTTCAAATTAAGGCAAGGGATGAAAGGGATTACAGAATTCCATCTACCAAATCAGGTGGAAAGACTGAAAAGATAAAGTAGGGATGTGACTTGTAACAAGGAAAGAACTCCATCTCAAGTGTGAGATCTTGGAGTCTTATTAATATAGCAGTTATTTTTCAATGAATGGGGTAAGGGTGCTCACAGTACTAGTGACACCAGACCATCAAGTTTCAGGTCTGTTCAGAAGTCTCCAGCCAGTAAATTGTTAACTGCGGGTCTCCTGATCTGGTAACTCCTGTGTTTTTTAGGGGAAGTAACTTCAACTTGCCTAAAATGATGTTTAAGACCCTGGCCCCTGGAGTAAAACCATCTGGGTTCAGATCCTAGCTTCTGCCACTAGGTGTGTGACCTTGGGCAATTTTTTTCACTTCTCTAGAACTCTGGCATCTCATCTGTAAATTGGGGATAATAAATAATTACTATCTTTCATGGTTGTAAAGTCAGGGAATTGAGCACAGCCGCTAGCTCAAGAAAGTTCTCAATAAATGTAAACTATTGTTATTACATTATTCTGGTTTTGTTTTTTTGTTTCTTATAATGATGACCATACTGTACCTTCCTCCTTTCTCTGAGGGGTATTTTGAGGAAGTGGGCTTAAGAAGGGCACTACAACACTGTGGCTTAGCCTATTCTTACTGTCCCACAATAAGAAAACTTATTTTTCAAACTACAAGAGAAACTTTATTTAGAAAGTCACAGAGGTAGCCCTGCCAGGGTGGTTGAGCGTCAGCCCATGCACCAAGAGGTCGGTGGTTTGATTCCTGGTCAGGGCACATGCCCAGGTTGTAGGCCTAATTGGGCGGGGGGGGGGGGGGGGGGGATGCAAGAGGCAGCCGATTGATGTTCCCTGTCATCATGTTTCTGTCTCTCCCTCTCCCTTCCTCTCCTTCTTAAATAAAATCAATAAAGAAAGTCACAGAGGTAGAACAAATGATCAGTAGAAGAAAAGTTACAGAGGCAAAAGAAGAGGCTCTTAGAGCTTAGACGAGGTTATGGTAAAGGTAAGGTGCCTTGGGGGAAGAGGAGGAGGATAGGAAAGGCGCAGGGCCGCTCCAGAGAGGGAAAATGTGCTGCCCCACACTTGTTTTAAGCAGGTTTGAGGATGAATTAAAGCCGTGAAATGGAAGTTTCCATTATCTGAAGGTAACTGGCTTCCTGTGTCCCCCCTGACACACTCCAGATCTCATTCTGGAGCGGGGGGGTGGGGGGTAATTCAAGTTTCTTCACTGCTAACCCTTGCACCCCTATCCCATCCTCTACAGGCTCCCCAACGTTCACAGTACAGTCTGACTGTATACCGAAGTTCTACAAGCGAGTTTCACCCACATTACCAACCTACAGGAACAACCGTGTGCTCGCACTCATTTCCTTCTCTCCCTTTCACTTCACGTGGGTTCCTACATTTGGACCTCAAAGCTTGCATTGATCTCTTTACCAGGACTGCCCTCCACCCTTCCCAGAAATTCAGTTTGTTTGTTTTTTTAAAATGCCATCAGGATTACTAGGAACTTTGGTGTAATGAGAGCATAACAAAAAAGTACTAGGTGTCATTTGTACAAACAATTTTCAAGGATGCAAAGCTCCATTTAGAAAACAATCCGAAGTAGGCAGTGAGCGCTGATTGGTCACTCAGGTCAAAAAGTGCGGGAGATGCAAGACAAGAGGAATGCGAAGGCAAGGTGCGATTTGTAGGGAAACATGGTGTGGGGAGGAAATCAATCAAGGAGCCTCCGAGTGGAGACCCGCTAAGAGGCGGCAGGGCTGACTGGGCCGAGTCGAGACCCACTAAGAGGCGGCAGGGCTGACTGGGCCCAGTCGAGACCCGCTAAGAGGCGGCAGGGCTGACTGGGCCCAGTCGAGACCCGCTAAGAGGCGGCAGGGCTGACTGGGCCGAGTGGAGACCCGCTAAGAGGCGGCAGGGCTGACTGGGCCGAGTCGAGACCCGCTAAGAGGCGGCAGGGCTGACTGGGCCCAGTCGAGACCCGCTAAGAGGCGGCAGGGCTGACTGGGCCGAGTCGAGACCCGCTAAGAGGCGGCAGGGCTGACTGGGCCGAGTCGAGACCCGCTAAGAGGCGGCAGGGCTGACTGGGCCCAGTCGAGACCCGCTAAGAGGCGGCAGGGCTGACTGGGCCGAGTCGAGACCCGCTAAGAGGCGGCAGGGCTGACTGGGCCGGGACCAGAGGAAGGAGCCCTAGGCCAAAGGCCAAAATTGGGGCTGATGAACACTTTCGCGTCTCCCCAGCGTTGAAAAACTCCTATTTTTACTGCATAATACAAAAATGGTGGAAGAGGAAAACCCTCTGTCTGACGGCAGAACCACGTGGCGCCTTTTCCACGCAGGTGACGCTTGGGAAAGGGCGGGGGTTTTATGGAATTTGTTCTTGGTGGGGCAGAGTATCGGAGAATTTCTCCAAACCAAGACACCACGGTTCTTTCAACACACACAAGCAGGACTACTACTACCACTTAACCTCCAAGAGTCCAGAAAGGGGGGCTCTGAACTTAATGGTAGTACGGCGGGCAAGAAAGGCGGAACTCCCCGCCTCTTTCTCTGACTGGACCAGCCTCGGCTCCTCGCCTCCTCTAACTGATCAGCCTACCAGCGCGCAAGCGTACTACCTGTCGCCTGCGCCAAAGCGGGACCAACTCTCGTCTCGCGAGAACGCGGCCGGTCGGTCTTCGTTGCTCTGGTTCTACGCACCCGCTCCTTGCCCGCTCTCTCCCATCCCCCCCAAGCCAGTCTCTGTGCTGCGCAGCTCCCTTAGCGGTTGCCTCCGCCGGAAACGGTTGGAAGAACCGTTGTGTGGAGCGCTACACGAGGCGAGCGACTTCTTCCCCTCGACCGGACCCCGCGAGCACCGGCGTCGGCGCTGCTGTCGCTCGACAGGGTATCTGAAGTAAAAGGGGGTAGGTTGGGCTGGTGGTTCCGTGAGTGGAGTCGGGAGAAGGACGCAAGAGACTGGGAGGGGGTGGGGGGGAAGTGTGGAGGTCGCCGCTCGGAAGCGGCCAGGCTGCGCCTCCCAGGCGATCTCCCACTTCAGGGGGGCGGCCTGTCGGGGCGGAGGACCTGCTAATGTGGAATTTAGTGAATGAAGCCGGGGCCCATCCAGCATTTCCCCTCTTCCTGCTGGCTTGGCCTCCGCCATTTTGGGTACGGTGGCGCGGCCCCCTCGGCTTCCCGCCCTTCCTCTCTCTCTACTTTTTGCCCCTCAGCTTCCGAAAACTGACTTAGGAGGCCGGAGGGTGGTCAGAGCGCCCTGCAGGGGATGAGGGTGGGGAACGGAGCGAGCCGGGAGAGGCCGGGCAGTTGGGTGGGGGAGGAGCTGGGCTGGCGGGCGCGCTCCCGATGGAAATGGCGCTGGAGGGGCCTAGCCTCCCACCGCGGCCTTCCTTCCTCCGCAGTCTCGGCCGGGCTACCTGGGCTGGCGGGACTGCGAGTGACTTCTGACGCAGATTCTCAAGATGAGAGAGGCTGGAGCTGGGGGAGGAAAGCCAATGGCGACGAAGGCGCTCAACTCCCAAATCCAGGACAAAGGAGGCAGAGGGCCTCCTTTGTAATTCCGCCGCCCGGTGGCTAAGGTTTTTAAGCCAGGCTTGGCTGCCGGGCGGGGTGGCGGGGGAAGGGGCGTACTCTCCCAGCTCTCCGGTCTCTAGGGCAGCTAGATAAACGAAAAGTCTCCGGGGAGGAATAAAGGACGCTTAGCCGGCCCTTATATTCCAGATTTGGAACTTCGAAAAGAGTACGTACTCATTTTCCAAAGGGTTTTTTTTTACACTTATCTTAAACGTATTTAAAAACTTTGTGGGTGAGCAGAAAATTGGGTGACTTATCAGATAGGAATGTGAAATGGGCATATTTCAAATAGGTCGTCTGGGCCCAGTGAACTCCGAGATACGGCTTACTGGACTTTGGGGTAGGGGTGGGGTGGTTTACCAATGGTTTTGTGTAGTTTGGCACATACAGGGTTAGAATTTAAGTAGGCGTTTTACATTTGGAAAGAAGCAAACATAGTCTGATGGCAAAAATGCGTGTGTGTACAGGAATTGAGTTACTGTGCGAAGATTTTTTGGAATTAGACTGTAGAAGTAAAAACTTTAAAATACAGGTGGTTATTTCCTTTTGGTAGCTAAGCTTTTTAATTTATTTTTAGTGTAGGACTGTCGTACTATTTTGAACAAGAATATAGGCCTACTCAACAGAAAGACAAACGGAAAGCCCAGTCCATATGGTGGGATGATTTTTGGTCCGTGGAACACAGGAGAATTGGGTCGGTAATTTTCACTGAAGATACAGGCAAGGCCTGAGAATAAGTTTCCAGTAATTCATATGAATCTTGACAAGAAGTCTGTTTACTTTTCCAGCTTTAAAGGACAGGCCAGAGTTTACCTATAAAGTAGTATATAATAGTAACAGCTTTCCTAATTGGATTGCCCTAGACCTCTTTTCCCTACTGTCTGCATCATAATCTGGAAATCCATGTAATTGCCTTTATATTTTTAATAACCATGTTTTTGTGTGTGTGTATGTGTGTCTCACAACTTTGTACTAGTAAAGAACTCATTTATAATCCTTTTTTATGAACTTAAGAGGTATTAATGGCGTCTGTTTTGCTTGGTTGGTTGGTTGGGGTTTTTTTTCGTGAGCTCATTGTTAGGGGAAATGGTTAAAATTTTCCATTTTAGTTAAACATATCACCAATTTTTTTGCCAAAATTGGAAGTCTGTTGTCAATTTTTGAGATCAGTGGGCTATCATTTAGAGAGTTATTTATTGATGCAGCAAACCCTTTACATATTATGTACTTAAGGTAGTATAATCTTTGTTATAAAGGAATTTTACATTTCATTTGGCCAGTGTTAGATGCTTTTTCTAACAAACTAAAATTTCATACAAAACTAAAGTCCTGATATTTCAACTGCTGGTATTTTTAATTGTGCTAACACTTGGAAACCTTAAACAGAATTGTGATTAGCTATGATGCTGTTGCAAAGAAAGGGTGAGATGGATTGTCCCAAATAATTAGTAAGGACTATTTAGGTAGTTTCTGAGACGGCTTTATTAAGGTACTAAAGCAGATTGTGTGCCTTTACAGTTCGTCTTGGTTTTGTTTTGTAAGTGGAATTCTGGACTCTTAATTTTGGGTTTTGAAATGAGTATGTTTTCTTTTTTGTTCTATATTCTTTGTACATATGGGATGGAGAATCATCCTAGTGATTCTCCAACCTAAATCTGGTTATCTCCTCCCCAATTTAAAATTGTGTGAATGTTAGTGGTTTTTGTTGGTTGCTTTTCATTCTCACCTGAGGATGTTTTTATTAAGGGGGTGGAGGACTGGATGCGGGGGGTGGAACTCAAAACCCAGGTATGTGCCCTGACCAGAAGTCAAACCTGCAACCTTTTGGTGTACAGGAGGATGCTCCAACCAACTGAGCCACCCAGCCAGGGCTAGTGGTTTGTTTTTTGTTTTTATATAGGCGCTCATTGGTGTAGGCTGATCCGAAAATCAAAGCAAGTTTGCTTGTTCTTGTAGTAATCTATTTCCAACTTTTTTGTACTTGTTCCCAGAATAACATCTTTTCACAACAGATTAGGTTGGCTTTGCAGAGTTCAAATTTTTTTCATGAAGTGACAAGTGATGTTAGATCTTCTCCACTTTTTCCCTTTTCTGTTCTTAAATCACCTTTTATAGGAAACAGCTATTGTTTATGTTGGTGCTATTTTTTTTAAAAAAGCTAACGAAAATGGTAGATTTTCAGGATGCCTCAACTTTTTTCCCCAAACAGATTTGGGGCCTACTTATATATAGGGCTATTAGAACAGTGTTTTAAGTCATCTAGCTACTAATACATATTATAGTAAGCATTTCAAAAGCCCTCTCTTTTTCCCTCTGCTTTAGACGATTTCTAAGGGTCTTTTAAGGTTCAGTTATTTTGTTTGTGGTACATTTCATTAGTTCTACAGAGCCCCTTAAAATCAAGTAACAGTGGCCACCATTGAATGGTTATCATGCTGAAGACCAAGCACTGAATGGCCCAAAGTACAGGCACCACTGCTGTATTTTTACTGTTGGGCACAGCAGTTAAGTAATTTGCTTAAATTAAGTTGCCAGTAAGTAACAGAGTAGGGATTCAAATCCAGTTTCTTTTCTCTTAAAAGTTCATACCAGTTGTTTATGTGCATAAGAATTAGTTGTAATGTCAGATAAAAATGCATTTTCTTACCTTTTGGGAGCTCTGGCCAATGTGGCTCAGTTTGGGTGTCCTCCCATGTACCAAAAGGTTGCTGATTTGATTCTTGAGTCAAGGAACATGCCCAGGTTGCAGACCTGATCCCCCTGTAGGTGGCATGTAGGAGGCAGCCAATTGGTGTTTCTCTCATCAATTTCTCTTCCTCTCCCTTCCTCTTTAAGAATCAATAAAAATATTTTTTAAACAACAGTATAAGTTACCAGAGGTGATTTGATTTGATTATGCAGAGCTGATTTGATTTATAATTACATTTGGAAAATTCTACATTAGCTTATTTTATATGCAAGATTCTAGGAAAAAGAAATTTTACTCTTTGTGCCCCTAACAGCTGCACTGATAATTCAATCATGTGAAAGTAAATATTAGTGAATACTCCTGGTATGAAATAATTCTTGAGCATAAAGGAATCGAGTGAACAAATTGTTTTATTTACAGGGGAGGAGGTGGTGAGGGAAAGTTTTGAAATAATCAGGTGAGTAGGATTACTACAGCTGCATAATGAAATCTGTAAGCTCTGGTAAGTTTCTGCAGCTGAAGGACTTCTGCATTAGCCTTTTTAAAGTGTTCTGGAGCCCTGGCCAGTTTTGCTCAGCAGTTAGAGCCTCGGCCCAGAGACCAAAGAGTCGTGGGTTCAATTCCAGTCAAGGTCACGTACCTTGATTGCAGTTTGTCCCGGCCCTGGTCTGGGTCGTGTGGAAGGCAACCAGTTGATGTGTCCCTCTCACGTCAATGTCTCTCCCTCCCTCCCACCCACTCTCCCACACCATCTGAAGATAAAATAGAAAAATATCCTTGGGTGAGGATTAAAAATAAAGTGTTCTGGAATCTTAAAAGGAAGGATGGTTGTCTTGGGAAGGGAACTGGATAGATAGGTTCTTTTTGGAAGAGAAAGGGGGCTTCTCACTGTACCCTTAATGTGAATGTGTTGTCATTTTAAAACCTGTTTAAAAGTAAAGCAGTGAGTAAACTGATTTTTGTGGTTTTTTTTTTTTTATTGTCACCGGAGGACATTTTTCCATTTTGGGTTCAGGTAGAGTGGGAGGGAGAGAGAGACATCGACGTGAAAGGGACACATCGAGTGGTTGCCACCCGCACTACCCAACCAGGGCCGGGGACAAACTGCAACCAAGGTACGCGCCCTTAGTGGGAGCTGAACCCAGGTCTCTCTGGACCGCAGGCCTGACGCTCTAACCGCTGAGCCAAACTGGCCAGGGCTAAACTGGTTTTTAATATACTATCTCCAATAACTTCCAAAACAGGTGGCTTCAAAAAACACTGATACTGTTGGAAGGCATTTGGCCTTTTTACATCCATTGCAAACGACAACCTAATTTAGTCATTTTAAAACTTACTCTTGGGGAGTGTTTGAACCAGATTTAGTTACAATAGAAATAAGAATTTTCCAACATCAACGTAGACTCATACTTTCGACCAACACTCTTGATGTGAGTGGACTGTAGTACTACATGCAACCTTTGAGTGATCAAGTTTTAAACAATTTGCAGAACTGTTCAAGTGAATAATAAAACATGGAAATTGTGAATGAAAATTTGAGAGATGAGGGAAGGGGGTAGACTTGTTACTAAATGAAAGGGTTAACAAATAGGGAGAGTTCGAAGACCTAGAGTAGAATTGTGTAAGCTTTCTTAAAATTAGGCAGTGTATAATATTTGAGCCTTAGAAATTTAGTACTGTTTGACAGGAGGAGTCAGGTTTCACTGCCTTTTCCCAATCTTTTTGCCTACCCCAGAACAGAAATGTTGTACCATTGTATTATAGCATTGTCACTGGAGTCACTGAGTCGTATGTTGCATTTCCTGTTGTGCACCACTGAGAGGTGTTTCTTCAGTACCTCTGACAGAGTATATTTTGATTGACTGCTTTATGTGCTTGTTTATTTTTTTTATAGCATTTAAATCAAACGGTATTGAGATGGATTGGGTTATGAAACATAATGGTCCAAATGACGCTAGTGATGGGACAGTACGACTTCGTGGACTGCCATTTGGTTGCAGCAAAGAGGAAATAGTTCAGTTCTTTCAAGGTACCTCAAGTATTAGTCAAAGTTTAGTAGTGTTTTAATTATGTTATATTACTCAGTTTTTAATTTGCAAAACACATTGTTTGGGGGACTTTTTAATTTGAGTATGATAGCTTGGTTAATGTATAAAGTTATGAAATTTGCTCCAGTTAATATTCAATACAGAATGTGTAGAATATGTAAAA